AGTAAGGAACAAGTAGTCTTGCGGACTGAGTGCAGGGATTGCAAATATGAAGGTCTCGAGTTCAAATCCTACCCATCACCTTAGGATTTTTTCCGGGTCCAGTATCTTTCATCGAGTTAATCAGTTGATCGGCGAACTAAATCAGATCTCCAAAGATTAATTTGAGTGAAATCTCAAATTAATTAATTCCCTTTTCACAGAGCGATGTGTTATTGAATATATATTTGTCCGTTTTTGACATATTTGTATTTTTGCTGAAATTTATGACGTGTTGTTGGCAACTTGTTGTCATGTTGCTCTTTATATTAGTGATAAACCGTTGACAGCAAATATACAGCAAGTTGTCGGCAACACATGTTGAATACGTGTCATGTCAAACCAAAGACAAATGCCTGACTCACCTTGTTTTAAATTTGCTGAAAACTCAAGCGTTTTGTTTTCGGCAACATGACAGCAAAAACACAGACAGGTGGCTATCAGGGAAGATTCAAGAACTCTGTATCTCTCATCAAGTTGACTCCATTTTTCTGCATTTTGATATGCAACATTTCAGATATCAATTTTTTATGATAAAAGTTTTCTGTGTCAAGAATTTCCACATCATTCCAAAGGAAATCATGACCAAAATCGCTACGATGTCTACTGACCACTGATTGGCGGTCGTAAACCGAGCGAAAGTCACGTTGATGTTCCAAAATTCTTGTACGTAATCTTCTACTCGTTTGACCAACGTACGACGCATCACAAGAAGAACACGAGATTTTATAGATCACATTGCTATTTGAATATTTATCAAGAACATTCTTGTGAATCCTCACAAATCCGCTCAAAGTGTTCTGACTCCGAAAAGAAAAGATAAAATTCTTTCTATCTAAAGCTTTGATAATATTGTCAGAAACATCCGGAATGTATGGTAGAGTGAAAAATCTCTTTAACTCGTCAGGGCCAACATTAGGTGAACGGTCCTCTTGTGACGAGACATTTGAAAGGGCAGAACTATTTAACTTTGTATTAAATAGAGTATGTAGTCTCTTTTTAAACGTTCTGAAAATCAAGTGTAGGGGGTAATCGTTAGCTAACAACATCTGTATCGCAATGTTAATATTGCTCTCATGGAAGTTAGGATGAGACAGAAGCATGACACGGTCAATAATGTCATAGATGACACCTATTGTTTGGTTCATAGGATGTTGAGAAAAGAAACTCAGATATCGTCATGAGAAAGTTGGTTTTCGGAACCAATCAAGTATTAATTCGTTACTGACAACGGTACTTTTTGTGTCAAAGAAGTTAATGCTTCTATCATTTTTCAGTTCAAAAGTAAACTTCAATCTACTGTGGTAAGAGTTAAATGTTTGTACAAGAGAGATTCCATTGATCTTATTGTATTGTACAATAATGTATTGTAATGTATTGTATGTATTTCGCACGTTGACAGTGAGAATCGTACAACGTCTACCATGCGCGGTTGTCCGGCAGTTTTAGAGATGAGTCTCGTGGTGTTTTGTGATTGGCGACTGAACGTGAGTGTTCTGATAAGTTCAATTTTTTTGTTAATTTTACATATCTCAGTTTTTTTATTCACTGACTTTTCTTATTCGAATACTTTTGACTAATTTTAACCGCATTGACTTTATTCTAATGTTTGGACTAATTTCTATAAATATAATTTTTACTTCTATGACCATTTCATTTCTTAGTAACCATACCCAGATAGCCAAATGTGAAAACTCAATATAAAGCAAATTATTGTATAGATTAAGTTGCTCGCCAATTGCTGTTGTGTTGTTTTTATTTAACGCAACGAAAATGTTTTTGTCAATTCAGTATCAATATGCTGAGTTTTATTATCAATCAATTGTTGTAGCCAATGTTTAGGACATATGAGTCAGCAATATGTGAGCAATATATGAACAATTATTTTTATTCATAAGTTGAGAAAACTAATATAAGTTTATTGCCGATGAGTTGTTGAGAACTTGCTGTTATTATATTTTGAAAACTGTTGTTGGCAAGAACATACTGAAAAGAGGATACACCCTTTTGTTACATTGCTGAAAACATATGAGTAATATTTGTGGCAAGTTGCCAACAACTTGCACTTAGTTGGCTATCTGGGTAATGAAGAACACAAATGTTCATTTGTTTGCCACACCTTGTTTTGTGACTCCTCTCGGATATGACTGTTGACATGTAATCGCGTCCTTTGAATTTATACGGTACGTAAATACGTCTTATTTCTATTATAACACACTTGCGGTTTATATTATATTTTATCACTTTTACTTTGTTGATATACTCATTGTTTTCATAATTTCTTTATAATTTCTTTTTCAGACGATGTATACAAACTAATTTTCATGTATATTACAGCTTTGGCTGAAGATGATCACAATAAAATTCGAAAAAGGGATCGAAACGTCCCTAGCAATTATTTGGTTTTAATCTTTATTTAAACTTACACCGCCACCAGTGGACTACAGGCTTCAAGGTCTTCAATTTATTTTTTAAGATTTATCTTTAAGCCGTTTTATTTCTCTTAAAAAAAGAAATTCTCCGTGTATAAAATTGTATGGACATATTCGGCATATAAATTTGCATAATTAGATATACTAATTTTAATTTATGTATAAGTTTATATGAAAAATTTTTTACCGGGTTACTAATACGATTCAGTCTATCTCAATTCAACAACATAACTTTATTGGTTGATTGAGATAAACTTAATTGTACTTGTTGTTAGTATGTATGTAGGAACATATGTCTTTAATCAAGAACAGTAGGTAGGTTACACTTTACAGAATTGTAATTCATTAATTCAGTAATTATTTGTATTTTTCTACTCGTGTTTCTCAACCTGTTGTACACCACTAATTGCTATAAATTCAGTAGTTTGAACATTATTATTAATGGACGTCGTATTAACTGATCTTGTATAACGTCGAGATCTCTGTTTCAGAGGATTCGAAACACTTGAGAAAAATCCACGATGAGTGCTGGTTTTATTGTTAGGACATTGAAAAGCACGCCTAAACTCTTTGCGGAATTTTCCTGCAACAAACATAGAAGCGAAGTGTAAGTATCTGGTATTTTGCGAACTATACTAAATATAAACTATATTACGCTATTTTTTTACGCTAAACATACACACACACACACACACATATATATATATTTCATTACATCTACGGTTTGTAACTTGCAGTTCTTGCAATGTTAATACACGACAATTACAAAGGAATACTGTTTCTTCCAAAGTACAACTGATATCAATCTAACACAAAGGATTCCGAAAAGAATCAGAGCTGCCCGATATATATAAAACATTTTTCATATATACTTATACACAAATAAAAATTATTATATCTAATCATGCAAACTTATATGCCGAATATGTCCATACAATTTTATACACGGAGAATTTCTTTTTTTGAGAGAATGGCTTCAGAGATATTCCATATCAAATTACAAAATAACTCTATTAGTATCATATCAGATACAAAAAAATCATATAAAACTATATTTTTACTATATTTAAAAAAAATGTTTTGATATATAAATTTATATACAAATTAAAATTATTATATCTAATTATACAAATTTATATGCCGAATATGTTCATACAATTTTATACATGGAAAATGTTTTACCAGGTGCTCATCCAAATCACTTCAATTCCTTACTGAAATCTACAACTGCCTGGTAAAAACAGCTGCGCTATTTGTATTAGTAAAAAAAAGACAGATGAGTTGTCTCTGATGACAATTGTTTGGTCGAAAAATTTGAATGAGATTTGAATCAGAACGATTCGAATGGGCAGCTCTAATTCTTTTTGAATTTTCTTGTATTAGATCAGAACAAAGTACAAGTTGTATTTTATTATAATAAAGTAAAGAGTTTCTTGATTGTAGTTGGGCAAGTGTGAACCATTTGCGGGGTGTTTTGCAATAAATAAATCTGTTATTTTGATTTCCAAACGTTTCAGCTTTATGTTCTAGCCTTCTTCAGTGGGTCTTTGTATAACAATTATTTTTTACAAAACTTCGGATTGATTTTTACAAAACTTTGGATTGAATCTATGAATATTATGATAACAATTTAATATCTACCTTTGATAGAACACTCCTTCCTGATTTTTCTAATGACGAACAGTTTTTTGGTTCACTTATAAGTTAAAAGTTGTATGTGTCAATTGTAAAATTCATTGTGTGTGAGTCAAGAGGTTCGTCATTACTGTGTCAGGAACGAAGATTTAACAGGATAAATACATGTATATATTGAAGGTGACATCTGTACATCGCGCTCACATTACTCAGATAACCAAATTTGTCGAAACAGATTTTGCCAAATGCTTGTTACAAATTTTGTTAGCAGAAAGACACCAAATATGATGCAAAGTTTGTTTTATCTGGCAATATTGCAAAATTGCTAGCAAAAATATATCCAAGCTTGTTAACAAAACATAACAACAAATTGCTGGCAAAAACCGAGCAAAGCTTGCACATAATTTGAGACCAAATTGACGCTAAAAATGAAGCAAGATCTGCGCAACACGACTTGATAGCAAAATAACAGCAAAACCAGAGCAAGACTTGCGGTTCAGTCAAAATATATGGTATTTAAAAGGCCATTTAATTATATCTTGACTTATTTCTAAATTGTATATACACACTATCTATAATCCATAATATATATAAAATTACTTTTACATTTGAGTATTTAACCTATTTCCCTATTACCAATAATTAAATATTAAAATGACATGATGAAATATTTTTTTAGCAAACTAACTATTAGAAAACCTATACGAGCGATGCTAGATGTACGCGCATTTTTTATGTATGTATAAATTTGTAAAGAATTAGTGACATATATCTGAAATTTATTTTTACAAATTATATGTATATATATATATAATCTTTATACATAATATATATAAAATTATGTTTACATTTGAATATTAAATTGACAAGAATTATATAAATATTAAAATGACATAACATAATATTATATTTTAAATAATTTTATAATATTTCTATATTATCAAATATATAACTTAGATTATGCATGTACACAATATTTATCGTTTATTAATAAATAATTGAATTTTCCTAAACAGATATGAAAAGCGAACTGCATTCTCCTAATAGAATCAATTAAAATTTCACTAATTGATTCAGTGATAATATCACTGATTTGCAGTGAAAAAATGCCTCTCTTAAAGTTAGGTGTCAGTAACAGATTAGTTTTACTAGGAAACAGTTAAAACTTCGCTGATTTACTTAGTAACAAATAGTTTTATTTAGAATTAGTAACAATATCACTGAATGCCATTAACATATTAGTTTTAAAGTAATTGATTGCGAAAGGTTCAATGGCTAAATTGATAGTGCCCGCTTGGTAATCAGAGGGTTCCAGGTTACAGGTTCGAATCCAGTCGAGATGATTTCTAACACAATGGATTTTTTCTACAAGGTAATACTAAGACAACATAGAGAATAACCAAGAAAACTTACTCAAGAATATAAATAAAGAATCTAAGTCATTTTTTTATATTATAAATGTACTTTTGCTATCAAATCGTCTTGCGCAGATCTTGCTTCATATTTGGCGTCAATTTGGTCTCAAGTTATGTTATCAGGCTTTGCTCGGTTTTTGATAGCATTTTACTGTTACTTTTTGTCGACAAGCTTTGGCAACAAAATCGAAGCCTAATGGGGACACAGTTAATGCCAATTTGTTTTTTGTTGAATATTTTTGCTTAAAATTGCTGACAATTTGCTGGCAAATTGCGAACAAATTGTTTACTGGGCACTCCATTGTTGACTATGTTGATCTTCAAGTCGAGGAAACCGATGCCGTCGTAAGATTGAATTTCTTGTGTAAATTGTATTCTGTCGTGAATGCTGTTAAGGACGTTCTCCGACTACAGTGGTTAGCAACCTAAAATATCTCTTCTCATAAGTAAGTTTCTACTGCTGTAACAAAGTTAGGTTGAGCTATTTAGCACTGTTAAGACCCGCTTACTCTGCGCAGAAGTTCAAAAATAGCTGCAGTACACAGCGCACATAAATTTAGCAAAAAAAAAAAAACCAAAAAGAAACAAAAAAAGCTGTAGTTTGAAAAAAAGGGTTGCTTGCCATATTATTCAAAATCGTATTTTAATTAGAACACTCTCCACTACAACATACTTGTTTTTTTAAAAAATCCTAAGAAAATTGTCATCAGTAATTTTAAAAAACTCCACTTCACAAAGGCTCAGCATAGGAAATCCATGTTAAAAATTGAAATATAAATCTTCCATATTTTGGAATTTAATATTGCTACCCCTATTATCCAAACAGGCTACGTATAAATAGATCATAAACTATGTATACCGCAAATTTAAAGAAAATCCTAAGAAAATCAATAATTCGGAGAATGTTCTTAAAGACTGTAAGAACACTCTCTATTTTGTTTCTAGGGATGGCTATTATGATGTCGTCCACGTATCTATAATATATTGGGATGTTGGATTTCAATTAAGTGCTTTATTTTCGATATCTTGCATTGTTATATCGGCCATTATCGGTGAAAGGGGTGAACCCATGGGTGAGCCAAATGTCTGTTTATAGATTTTATTGTCAAATGTGAAATATGTGGACGACATCACGAAATTCAATGCTATTAAAAATTCTTCTTTACTGATTTTTGTATTGATTTTTATATGTCTCCATCTATTAGAAACACCCTGTATTGCCATATCTATCGGTATGTTGGTAAATAGGGATGTTACGTCTAAGGAATGTAGAACAAATTCATCATCAAATTTAATGTTAGTAAGCACGTTGTACAGATGGAAGCTGTTTTTCACGAAAAAAGGTGAGTTAGGAATACTCTTATGTAAAATTTTATGCAGATATAGTGCAAAACCATGGAGCGGGCTATCTATAGTTGAAATTATGATGCGGCACGGATAATTCTTTTTGTGTATTTTTGGTACCCCGTATGCTCTGAGTACTAATGAGTCGTTAGATACTAGTGATTTTTTAGTTTGCTCGCTTATGAAGCCTTTAGTGAACCATCTGTTTAGTAGTTCTCTTAGTTCGTTTTCTGTTTTTTTCGTTGGGTCTTTATTTAAAACTGTGTATGTATTGTTAACCTGTAATATTTCGTTAATTTGTTTGATGTAATCTTGCTTTAGAATCGCTACCGTGGAATTGCCTTTATCTGCTCGTGTAAATATAATATTTGAGTTGTTCTTGATAAACTTGGAAGTTATTTTTGCTTTATCTAATAACAAACTCTCTATGTGTGTAAGTGATGTGTTAACTTATAAGTTAACCAAAAAACTGTTCGTCATTAGAAAAATCAGGAAGGAGTGTTCTATTAAAGGTAGATATTAGATTGTTATCATAATATTCACAGATTCAATCCAAAGTTTTGTAAAAATCAATCCGAAGTTTTGTAAAAAATAATTGTTATACAGAGACTCACTGAAGAAGGCTACAAATAAAGCTGAAACATTTGGAAATCAAAATAACAGATTTATTTATTGCAAAACACCCCGCAAATGGTTCACACTTGCCCAACTACAATCGAGAAATTTTGAAATATCGTTAAGAACTCATTCAAACTAACAACAACATTAAAGTAAAGAGTGTTCTTTTATATTATCGCGTAATAATGTTAAAGTACTTTTGGAGTATAAGGCTTGAAAGTTACAGTACCGTCGGCATTAACATTACCCAAAATGTACCATGCGGAAGTTGCTTAGTCGAATTTACATTTCTTTTGTATTCTGAGGAAGATCGGACGATGATCCAGCCAATGAAGGCAAGATCGATAGTTGATCCGATCTTGTTTCCATTGACTAGATCAATTACCGATCTTACTTTCATTGGTTGGATCATCTTCCAATCTTGTTTCTATTGACTGGATCAACAGAATATATTATATTCAAAAAACTCACGTGAAAAATTTACACGTGAACGCATATATATAAATGTATGCATACATATATATACGCATATTTTTTCGCACAATATCCTGCGATCGGCTCTTACTGACTTACATATATTTATTACAATATATTATATTCAACTTACAACTCAAAAAGTACATAACAAAAAAAAGTACTTTATTATAGTGTTTTGAAAAGCTCTCGAGATAAGCTGCGAGAATATGCAATGTAAATTGGAGGATTTTGTTTAAAGAAGTCTAAGTGACTTTGCCCTGACCTTGACAACGCAACCCATCAAATCAACGGCACCATCTTATGTCTCCCTCAAAGTCATAAGACTTTTGTCCGAACCATTTGTCAATTTAACGCAGTGTTTTTGAGATATTTGAATGGATCTTTTAAAAAATAGAACACTCTGTACACACACACACACACCAACCCACACACCAACACACACACACACACACACACACA